TATATAGCTCTTGTTGCTACAAGTAAAAAAGTAGTTGATGTACATTCATTTTTTCAAAACTTGAATAAGATTGTTAATGCCATGGGTTCTTCCTATTAGCGCAACGATGAATTATGAGATATTTTTGCATTTCAAATTTCCAATAAAGTGGTTGAAAATGGTGAGATTCAGACAAGAAGGGAATAACTTAGCATATTATAGTGGCCCAGAGATATTCTCATTTAAATTCTATATGTAGTCTTTTATGCATTTATAGTGCAACTACTTCATTTCTTGAAAATATAGTTATCATATAATATACTAATTCTCATCGAGGTGATGCTACATATGCTTGTATTAATGTCATTTAATTTTAGTTTTATTTTACATTTGATAAATAAAATTATAAGAATTACTAACAAACTTTGTAAAGCATTGTAACAAAAATGTCAATATACCTTGAATGTTGTGTTTGACATTTACCACAAAAATACTTATTAAAATGTCAAGATACCTTGAATGTTGTGTTTGATATTTACCACAAAAATACTTTTTTAAAAGTCAAAAGATTATGATTGGAAATTTTTTTTTCTAGAAAAAGTTTTTTATTTTTGTAAAAGTCAAGTTATTGAAATTCTTTATAAGAATGTTTTTACTTTGTAATCTTGACCCCTCCTAATTAAAATTTATTGCTCCACACCTTTCATGCCCCTGCTTAAGTTACATTCTGGCATTACCTAGCATGGAAATACAATAACATTTTAAGTTTTAACTTCTTTATCATTTTTAAAGGGGTATTATGGAAAACAAGTCTTTATTATAACTAGAAATTCACAACAGATAAAATAATTTTGAGCTGGGGCTTTGAACATGTACGTTATGAAAAATTTGGTGATATCTTTTCCATTCACCCGACGTCCTTTGCGTTCACCACGACCGCACAACTGGAGCGACAACGTTTAATCGAAGGGGAATCATGGGAGACAGATTGTGCCCCACAATAGTGGAAAACTAGGACATGCTACTCATCTCAAACTATAAGATAATTTAAGGTAAGATTATGTATATAAATAAAATTCAATGATGACATTTCACAAACTTATTTTTTAAAATAAAACTATAAACTTTCAAAAATATCCCGACACATTTATTCATTACACTACAATTATTTCAATCCTTCCTTCACTTGAAGGTAACATTAAAAAAAGCATTATTAATAAAATCTTATTTTTGTAAAATTATCTTATATTTTGGGACTGCTGGAATATTAGGAGTGATTAGTGTTAATCACTTAGTTGTTGATGATCTCAAATCTTTATAAAGGGCATCATATTCTATAATATCCCAATTTAAATTTTAATAGTTAATTTGGGTTAATAGAAATTTAAAAAAATAATAAAAAAATAATATTAAATTATTATTATAATAAAAAAAGAAAAGGTATTTTTTAAAAAAAAAAGGAAGAATAAGAAGAAAAACAAGTTTGCTTTCGGCAGCCGTAATGATTACATGTAAAATAGTAAAAAAGAAAGAAAAGGAAAGAAGAGAGAGGAAAGGGAAAAAAAAAATTATGGGACCCACATTCATTTTTAAAAACCACCATTCTCTTCTCATTTTCCTTCATTTCCTTCCTCTTTCGTGTGCGATCAGAGAGAGCATCTGTGAGCGTGAGTCGCCGGTGCGGAAGATCTGAATTTTTAAAGTAAGAGTTTTTAATAGGATATTTAGGGTGTGATTTTAAGCTTTTCAAGACTAAGTAAGTGTTCTAAAAATTTTCTTAGTCATCCTTCTTCTTTGGTTTCTAAGTTTGTAGTGGTAGAAAATTTAAGATCTGGAAGAGGGATGAATTTATGTTGAATAAATATGGTTTTTGAGGTTGTCAGTAGTATAATAAATGTTCTAGAGTATAAATTTATTGATGATCTTTGAATTTGTGGCTTATGGATCAAATTCTAAACTAGATCTGAAAATATATGTTGATTTATTGAGGTTTAGATGATTATTTGGGATGAGAAATGAATTATTATGGCTATAGGATTATGATTCTAAGCTAGAGACTCAATTTTTAATTTTTGGGTATTTTAGGTACGAATTTATAAAATAAAAAGAAAATTTTGATAATAGAAATTAGTTTAGAAGTTGATTTTTAGATCATTAATGTTTATTGATAATTAAAAGAGGAGTTAAAAATTTTACTTAATAGTATTACTCTAGATTTGTATTAAGATTGAGATTAGGAATTATGTTTATTTTTAATTCTATTATTAGAATTATTTTATTAGTGTCAAAAATTGAAACTAATATTTATAAATAATATGTTATTTGTAGATTGTATTACTGGTGAAGATTGTGGTGAGAGAGAAATTTTAAGGAATAATTTATTGAAAAAGCCACAAGGTAACCATGCTTTTAATTTATGATTTGTGTTACTTCATGTTAATTGGGTGATTATTAAGAAAATTATAAATTTTGTAATATTATATAATTGTGCAATATTATTATGAATTTGTTTGATTATTGTGGGAGGTGTTGGGAGACTTGCTATATTGTTGTATTTATGTGCCATGTGGTACGCCTCTATTGGAGCTCAATAGGTGGTTTGTAAGGGCTCGGGCTAATTTACCTTTGGCCGGGTAATTTAGCACCGAGTGAGGGCTATGGCTCGAGGTTAATGGAGAGATATAAGGATGGTTGTTTGTGTATATTGTAATATTTCTTATATTTGTTGGAATTATATTATTTTTAATTTTCACTTAGTAAGCACACACTTAACTGTTTGTATACACTATCATAAATTAGCTTTGGTTACTGGGACTTTTGAGTCTCATTATGTGGTTAACAATTTTCAGGAGAAGAGCCACGAGTGACACGTGGAGGAGTCCCAGAGGCTTAGTGGTATAGATCCACTGTCTCTTTTGGGTATTTAATTTATGATTTATAATGTGTTATATTGCCAATATTAGGGCTTTTTGTTTATTGTCAATTATATGAATATATAAATGTAATCATGCCTTTCAAACTATTTCTATTTTTGGTACAATTTGGATGACTGTAATTTTAATATTTGGTTTACTTTGGATTGGTTAAAATGGCATGATTATAAGGCCAAATAACTGGCTTGTGTTGAAAATTTACTAAATTGCTTATTTTACTTGTTGGGAGTATAAGGATGGACAAATGTGATTTAGTTTACTTATTGGGAGTATAAGGATGGACAAATGTGGTTTAGCCTAATGGCATGTGGGAGGTAAAAATTTATCTGAAATGTTATAGTGTGTAAGTTGAAGCCAATTATAAAATATTTTATATTGAAATTATTGATATAAAAATGTGTTGGGTGGCTGTAACCCAACTATGGTTGAGTTAAATTATTTAAAAAAAAAATTTTGGTGTGTTACATATTCTATTAGAGGTTAGGGGATTAAGTCTTATCTCAATAGGGAAGTTAACAAATGTCCTCACCTCATGTTTCACCCCAAAGTGGTTTTCGGATTTGGTTGAGGGAATTATATTGTTCTTACTTTCAGTCATAATATTCACGATGTTATTCATCTTCTTTTCTTTTATTCAATTTTGTATCTCAACAAGGACAATAAAATACCTCCAAATTTGTCTTATAATTTGGGAGTGAGATAGTATATGATCACTTCTGCTACTGTAAGGAATTAATATAGTCATAATTTTTTGAGTATTCCAGCAGTCGAACTCAAGGGAAAGCAATAATTTTGTTATTTAATAAAAAAATAATAGTTTTGAAAGAAGATTTAATATTTAATTTTATAACACAAAATAAAATCAATAATAAAAACGATGAGCCAACCAATTAGATAAGCGTCAGGGGTCAGGATTCACCTACTAAGATGGTTTACTCTAATTATTTAATAAATAAATAAAGGGTGGAAAAATATATAAATCTAAGTAAAATATCCACTTATCAGTATATGTTTATATAAGCTTCGTTATAATTATATGACTAATTTTAAGAAATGACACATGAAGCCAGTTTAGTTGGAAAGAGTGGCAACAAAATAGATTATCCATATTTATCAGATTGAAAATCATAATTTTGTGGAAGGTGTGGTGATTTGTGATATTGAGTTTCCCCATACAAAAATAATACTCCCTCTGTTAAAAAATATGAGGTATTTTTAATCGAGTCTCACTTTCAATAAAGTAGTTAATTATCTTCAAACTAACATAATATTTTCATATTTACCCTTATTTAATAAGATGTTTCACTCTAAATTAAATATAAAGTGATTTATTCATTTGGGCTCTTTTAATTGGCAAAAAAAAAAAGAGAACATTTTTGAAAAAGAGGCAATGATTATACCTTCAAACACAAAAAATGCTTTATATATTTTTTATCTAACCTCTTAAAAAATACTCCCCCCGTCCCAAATTATAGGATACTTTTAAAAGAGTTTCTCCATTTCAAAATATAAGACACTTTGGGGAGATTAAGGTTTCATTAAATGCACCAATTTTAATATTATCTTTTTTCTCTCTATAATTAATTTTCATACTTTCTCTTTTCAATATAATAAATGATGAGTATTTTTAAAAGTTTATATTTTTGTTTTGAAAGTTAAAGTTGTTAAGTGTATTTAATGAGGTTTATTAGTATGTGAAATTTTGTCCAAATGTATCTTATAATTTGAAATGGAGGGAGTAACTTACATTTTTGAACGGAGGGAATATCAAAATAATGTGTAATCAATTTCTCATGCTAAAATAGAAACTTTATTTTTATTTTTATTTCTTTAATCCATTTTATTTTCATCCCTCACCAATTTAGACGGAGTTCAGAGTTTCGAAAGATTAATCAAGTGCCCAATCTATCTCTGTCCGCGTTTTGTCTTACTTCTCCCAATAATTTTTTTTTTTGGGACCAACTTATTTTTTCCAATCATGAAGCTTCGAAATTAATTAACTAGCTTATAACTTTAATGTAAATAATAACGAATATCCAAACTACCCCTCCAAATCATCAAGTGTGTCTATAAATAAAACCCTTCATCTTCTCGTTTACACACCACCACATCACACGGAAAAAACCTTATCCTCTCGTAGCCAAATCATCTCAAGCAATGAAGACCGCCTTGCTTGCCCTCTTCCTTGTCTTCGCCTTCACCTCAGCCCAAGCTGATTTGGTGATTGACACTGAAGGCAACCCCGTCAGAAATGGCGGTCAATACTACATCCTCCCAGCTCTCATGGGAAACGGCGGTGGCATCGGCCTCGCCGCTACCGGAGGGGAATCTTGCCCCATTACTGTTGTCCAGACCCCCTCTGAACAATCCAACGGTTTACCCACCAGACTTTCATCTCCATACAGAATCGCACATCTCCACACAAATCTCAGGGTAGACTTCACGGTCGTTGCACCCCCAAAATGTGCCCAGACACCGGCGAAATGGACGATTGTGGGCATAGAAGATGAGAGAAGGGAAGTGAAACTTGCCGGGCAGCAAAACACCGTGCGTGGTTCGTTTAAAATTCGGACCCATCATGGTACGACGTATAAGATGGTGTTCTGTCCCAGCGATGAGGAATATTCTTGTCATGCTCTTGGGATTTCCAGGGATGAGAAAGGAAACAGGCGTTTGGTTGTTGATGATAACAACCCTTTAGTTGTTGTGTTTCACAGAGCTGGATCATCCATCTGCTGAATGAAAGAGCTTACTCTATCGAAATGGTGATGAAGCAACAACTTGTTGCAAGCAGTTTATATAACTCCTTGCACTTATCAAATAATATATGAAATAATGCTTCATGTGCCTTACTTTTCCCCTTGTGTATCTGAGGTCTAAAATAAATAAAACTATATATCTCAAGAGGCTTACCCTCTTCCTCCTCTCTCTGTAATCTATATACGTACAATATATTGATGATTTAAAACTTATATAAGCTTGAAAACAATCTCAATCAGCAAATTGCTTAAAGATTAAAACACCAGCTACCACGTGAACAAGAAATTTAAGTCCCCGATTTTTTAAACTAGTTAGATATTGCTCTATGATGATTAAGTTTTGATCCTTTTTATTTTGTAATTTTTTGCTCTAAGTAAACAAGTTGAGTCTTGAGAGGGCTTGTTCTTATCTAACCATGAGCGAGGGAATCTCAATATTTTAAACTTATAGCCTGATCAATCAACTCACTTATTAATTGTAGGACAAGTCAATAATGCTATGATCTTTGATGATAAAGTCATTACATTGTAATTGGATTTGAACTCATATCGTGGGTTATAAGCCAAACTTTTTATCGATTGAACCAACTTTTGTTATCTATTATTATTCTTTTTTACTCATAATGGCCATATTTGTTTTTCACACTTTTTATATCTTAGTCCAATTATTGTAACCGAAAATTTATAGACTTAAGGCATGAAACTGTTTGCAATCATTTTTGATGAATGATAATAATGGGACAAATCTGTTAAGGAGATAGTCCCTCTGGCTCTATCTCAATAAAATCACGAATTACAACGTGAACAATACATGATTCAAAATTAAGGAGATGTTTTCTTATGTTGGATTTCTATTTTTAAAATTGTTTTCATTTCTTTAAAATATTAAATAAAAAAACTTAGATAAGTGTTTCAGGTGTAATTATTTTTTAAAACTATTCTCATTCTCTTTCTATTATTTAAAATAAGAAAATTGAAATATCTTACACTTCTTTATGATTATTTATTTTTTAGATCACATACCTCTTGGGTTAGAGAATTATAATTATTCACACGTTGGCTCAGATGGAAGGGATATGAGCTCATTAGGGCCGCATGACGGGATTTTAAAGCCTAAGGCAAAATTATCTAAGACGCTCAAAGTATTATTATTTATATATTTTCATATCACTTTTCTAGCCTTTTGAACTGCAAAATCAAATATTAAATGTTTATAATCAAGTAATTCTATCATTTCACTTCCAATAGATAATGTAGCTAATTCATTTAATCTATTTTGTCATATGACTGATCTTAACATTAATGCTCAACGAAAAAGATAATAATATTACAGGATATAAGTGGACTTTTTTTCAGGCCTAAGGCGGCCGTTTCATTGGCCACGGCCCTGAAGCTTATTAATAATCAATTCCTGCAGTCAATACTTGTGGCAAGGGAAATGGAGATAATGTGGTTGGAAAAGCTATCCTTGTTTTGGACTTGACTATGTTTGAATATGAATTAGTTGAAGTTATCGGCTTCAGATACTAGGTGATTTGTTACCAACCAAAAAAGATAAAAAAGAAAAGTTCTTGTAAGGTTTACCTCTATTTGGGCCTACACGTTTGAATCTGAATTAGTCGATTTGTTAGCGTAGGATACCAGGTGGTTTGCTAAAAAATCACGATTAGTATGCAAAAATTCAATCTAGAACCTCCCACTTGTCCCTTTCTTTTCTTTTCTTTCTTTTTTTTTTTAATTGTCTAATATATTCCCATACTTAGCGACCGTGAGATTAATCTCTTGGAGAATCTAAATGTAATTTAAGGGTTACTTTTCTTTTATGATCAATCATAGCTTTCACATTTTTTTTGGGAGAATCACATCAAAGGCCCATCGAAGGAACATATTTACACAATAGGCCCAATAGATTTTGATAGTTCTTTGCAGGTCCAAGGGCCCCAAATGCAATTATTTTTGAAGGTAAAAAGTCTGAACCACCCTTGATGAGTGTAATCAAAGAAAATTAATGACAAAAGGCCTGCAAGTAACAAGCAAAGTCTTATTATTTATAACAAGAAGTCCTTTTATTCATAAGAGTCTGTGTGGGTTTGCACTTAGAAAATTTACAAGGTAGCCAAATACAATTAACAACAGAAAGTTCATAAATAATCAGAAACGTCCAATTATTTACAATAAAAAGTCTGTTTATTGATAAGAGTCCATATAATTTTATATTTGTATTTGAGAAAATTTACAAGTTAATTAAAAAAAATTAATAACAATGGGCCTGTAATTATTACAAAAAGCCTCATGTCACCCCACCTTTTCTTTTCTTTTCTTTTTGTTCTGTTATGTTCCTCCAATTATTGCAACCTTGAATTTGGACTTGAAGCGAGAAAACAATCGCTATCATTATTTACTGCGGTAACTCTGGCCCCTTTACAATAAAAGCACCAGCTATACAACGTGAACTAGAAATTTACGTCCCGATCGTTTAAACTAACTGGATATCGCTCAATGATAATAAAGTTTGGATTTGTTTTTTTAATTCTATAAATTTTTGCTCTATATATTTGAAATAATACAAATAAAGGATAGTAAACAAGTTGAGAGGACTTATTCTGATCTAAACATGAGTGACAAAGTGTCAAAAATCAAACGGAAGTCTCAAATTTAAACTTAGCCTCTTTCGTTAACTCTGTTATTATGAGAAGGACAAATGATAAATCTTTTTCACTGACGCATTTGCGTCCTTTTCATTTACCACAACCGCACGGATGTGGCGACAAGGTTTCATTGAAAAGATAATGACTAATAAATGACAAAAATTCATAGGCAAGTGCTCAAACAATACTATTAAGAATTTGGGTTTCAAAAATAGTAAGATTGTTGGTGTTGATAGCTTTGTTGGTGGTATTTGGTTAATGTGGAATGATAGCAATATTAATATTACTGTGCTAAATATACACAAGCAGTTTCTCCATGTTCTTTTTGAGAACAATAATGTTCAATGAGAATGCTTCTTCGCCTATGCTAGCCCTCATGAATTATGAGTTATGGCCGGCGCTTCCAGACACTATTACTAATTGTCGGTTTTCCTGCTTATTAGGAGGTGATTTCAATGAAATTAGTAGTTCGAATGAGTAAAAAGGAGAGGGTCGTTTGGCAATGCTAGATGTGCCAATTTCTGCAATTGGATTAATAGTTGCAGTTTAATAGATTTCACAGCTATTTGGGACAGAATTTTGTGATGGAATATAAAGAGTCATAAATGCGTCTCAAATCTACTGCAAATTTTATCCTAAATATTTGGCCTGGATATTGGGTATATTCAATTTGTATGAAATTATATGTTTTTAATTTTTTTATTTAATACAAATGTAAATTTTAATTGTAATTGAAAATAAACATATATTTATGCTAATTTTTGGTTAGTTATATAAATTATATATTTACAATTAATTTGTACTATTATTTAATTATATATTATTTGATTAAAAATAATATGTTAGTGATTATAATTAAAGTTAAAATGATAAAGCACGGGGTCTTATAAATTTTATGTTTGGAAATTATTGACATTAATTAACTAATTAAAATATATGGTAGAGGGCAACTTCAATTACACTGTTCTCTCTATAATTAAATACAAGTTCACATTCTAGTATATAATTAGAAATGATTTAGTTTCTTCAACAATCTCATGGCAAGGGTAATCTTGTTCAGCTTCTCTGCTAATCAAATTATTATCTTACTTAGAACCACTATATACACCTCACATGTCTTAGACCTTTTTTTCATCAAATATTCAATTGAATAATTAAACTTTTATTGATGTGGCAGGTCATCCTGTTGCTTCTAAAATCTCGAATCCAATTCATATTAATAATATTGTTCATAATATTAATCTAAATGTTTCAGACATTATTTAAATATTCCAAACACACACATTTAATCCAAGTTATATTATAGAATGACATTTTTAGTGGTGGAAGCAAAGTCGTTTTCCTTTTCAGCGATCACTTGTTCGAATATGTGGTTGCAAATTATTTTTTATCACACTTATAAAAATATTAAAGTTTGAAAAGGCCCTGGTTTGAGCGACAAATTATTCTTTTTATCACACTTATAAAAATATTAAAGTTTGAAATTGCCATGGTTTGAACACCCTCCCTCTATAGGATATAAGAACATAGCTCAACGAACATGCTACCATTGTATACATGTTTTAGATTTACATTTTTTATTCAAATAACAACTATGTTCAATTAATAAAAACAAAATCATCATATTATTTCCCAGCCCTATTTCGAAGACAAAACCCTGCCGTCCCCCTGCTGCTTTTCATTTTGCAGCGCATTGATTGGAGCTCTCGTTTCCTTCTCTTTATTTTGAGCGGTGAGTCTCTTTTCTTCTCTTACAACTCTTTTCCTCTTTCTCTCTTCATTTATGCAACTAGCCCTAATTTTTTTCTCCCCCATTTCTCAGTCACAACATGGTGAAAATCTTCCCACGATTCATCTGACTATGTTTAAATATTAATCAGTTGAAGTTGTTGGCTCAGATGGAAGGGATATGAGTTCCTTAACTATCAACTTCTGGGTTCAATCCTTGTGGCCATGGGAATGGAGATGATATACATGCAAAAGCTATACTAGTTTTGAACTTCACTATGTTTAAATGTGAATTAGTTGAAGTTGCTGGCTTCAGATACTAGGTGTTTTGTTATAGAGAAAGAAAGTTCTTTGGAGGATTACCTTTGTTTGGGGCCTAACATGTTCGGATCTGAATTAGTCGCATTTGTTAGCTTAGGATACCAGGTGATTTGCTAAAAAATCACAATTATTATGCAGAAATGCAACCTCCTACTTGTCCCTTTTCTTTTCTTTTCTTTTCTTTTCTTTTCTTCTTATCCAAGGTATCCACATAGCTAGCCGTCGTAAGATTAATCTGTTGAAGAATCTAAACACCATTTAAGGGGTCACTTTTCTTTTATGATCAGTCATGTGCTTCACATTTTTTGGGAGAAGCACATTTAAGGTCCATTGAAGGAACATATTTACATAGTAGGCCAAATAGATTTTGATATTCCTCTGCAGGTCCAAGGCCTCAAATGTAATTATTTTTGAAGGTAAAAAGACTGAACTACCCTGTGTGATTGTATATATATGTGCTGCATGCTAACCAAAGAATATTAACAACAAAAGGCCAATAGAGCACATACAACAAAAAGTCCATTTTTTCACAAGAATCTGTGTGGGTTTACACTCATACTTAGAAAATTTACAAGCTAGCCAAATACAATTAACAACATAAACTTCATAAATAATAAGAATAATCCAATTATTTACATGAAAAAGTCTGTTTACGAATAAGAATTCATATAAGTTTATACTTGTATTTGATAAAATTTACAGGTTAAAGTGAAGAAAATTAATAACAGTAGGTCTAGAACTGTCATTATTACCAAAAGTCTCATTTTCTCGCTTTTTTTTTTATTGGGATATGTTGCTCCAATTATTGCAACGGTGAATTTGGACTTGAAGCTTCAAAACAATCGCCATCATTATTTGTTGCGATAAACTTAGCCCCCTTCATTAACTCTCAGTTATTATGTGAAGGACAAAATGACAAATCTTTTTCACTGTCGTGTTTCCGTCCTTTCCACTTACCACAACCGCACAGTTGTGGCGACAAGGTTTCATTGAAAAGATAATGATCAATAAATGACAAAAATTCATATGCAAGTGCTCAAATAGTACTATTTAGAATTTGGGTTTCAAAAATACTGAGATTGTTGATGCTGATGGCTTTGCTGGTGGTTTTTGGTTAATGTGAAATATGTTACTGTGCTAAATAAACACAATCAGGTAGGGGTGAGCATAATCGAATCAAAATTGAAAATCAAACTGAATCAAATTGAATTTTGTCTATTTGATTCTATCTGTTCAGTTTTTTGGTTCAATTCGGTTTTCTTTTAATGAAAAATTTTGGCTGATCGGTTCGATTCGGTTTGAGAATTCAAGAATCAAATAAACCAAATCGACTGAATTATCCATTTTTCTTTCATATTTTAAAAAATGTGAATACATTCTCATCTAGATGAGTAAGAAACATCTTTCTATTACTTACAATAATAGCATTTTTTTGTTTAATGTGATGTTCTAATTTTTTATTTTTATAATTTAGTTTTTAGTGTAATAGCATTGAGTCTTATTAATTTTCTCATGAATTATGGTATAAGATTGTTATTTTTTTATTGGGCCTCCAACATCAAGGAAAAAAAAATTAGATAGAAGAATATATGAACAATTATATTTCATAGATTCAAATCAAAGCCTATAAATCAAATAGACCGATTGAATCGCATCATTACAATTCGGTTTGATTTTAAATCAGTTCAGTTATGTATTTCGATTCGATTTGATCCAAATTTTTTATATAATTCGATCAATCAGTTTTAGAGAAATTAAAATCAAATTGATTGAATCGACCGAATGCTCACCCCTACAATGAGGTTCTCCTTCTCCATATTCTTTTTGAGAACGATTGATAATGTTCAGTGAGAATTTTGGAATGGAATATCAAGAGTCACAAATGCGCCTCAAAATCATTCCAAGCCGGTCCTAAATATTTGTCTCGTATATTGGGTATATTTAATTTGTATGAAATTATCTATTTTTTAATTTTTTATTTAATACAAATGTCAATTTTAGTTATAACTGAATAAATATATACTTATACTAATTTTTGTTGATTTATATAAATTATATATTTATAATTAATGTGTATTATTTAATTAGAATAATATGTTAATAATTATAATTAAAGTTAAAATGATGAAACACGGGGTGTTATAAATTTTTAGTTTGGAAATTATTGAATTAGCTAATTAAAATACACGATAGAGGGGAATCTTCAATTACATCATTCTCTTTGTAATTAAAATACAAGCACACATTCTAGTCTTGTTTACTGGCAAGGGTAATCTTGTTTAACTTCTCTACTTGATGATGATGCCCTTTACTTTATTAATTGGGCTGTTTAACTTCTCTACCAATCAAATTATTATATTACCTAGAATCACTATATACAGCTCACATTTCTGAAACCTTTGTTTCACCAAATATTCAATTGAATAATTAAAGTTTTATTTTTTCGATATTATGTGGTTGGTAATCCAATTGATTTCTAAAATCTACAATCCAATTTATATTGATGATATTGTCCATAATGTAAATAAAAATATATAATATTAATTTGAATATTTTAGACATTATTTAAATACACACATATTTAATGTCAAAATATGATGATGGAATGACATTTGTAGTGGTCGAAGGTAAAGTTATCTTCCTTATCAGTGATCAGTGATCACGTGCTCGAAACTTGTGGGTGCAAATTATTTTTATCACACTAATAAAAATATTAAAGTTTGAAAGAGCCATGGTTCAAGGGAAAAAAATATTTTTTATCACACTTATAAAAATATTGAAGTTTGAAAATGCCATGGCTTGAACACCCTCCCTCTATAGGATATAAAAGCAAAGCTCAACCAACATGCTAGTTTTTATTTAAATAACAACCATGTTTAATTAATAAAACCAAAAAATCAGAATACTTCCCTCCCCTATTTCGAAGACAAAACTCTTCCCTTCACTGTTGCTTTTCATTTTGCAGCGCACTGACTGGATTTCTCGTTTCCTTCACTTTATTTTCAGTGGAAGTCTCTCTCTCTCTCTCTCTCTCTCTCTCAACTCTCTTCCTCTTTCTCTCTTCATTTATGCAACTAGCCCTAATTTTTTTTTTCTCCCCCATTTCTCAGTTGCAATACAGTGAAAATCTTCCACGATTCATCTGACTCAGGGTTCTCTATACCCACATTTTGAAGTCTTCCAAGCTTTATATTCAAGTCGCATGTTGTTCTATTTGAGATTTTTCCTAAGGTTATCTCTTTTCTAGTTTAATACCTCTTGTTCTGTCATGTGGGAGCTGCTATTGACTTAAAATAAAATAAAATTAGGTGCGGTTGTTGTCATGTGGGGCTGCTGTACATGTTTTCTCAAATTTTATGTTTTTATGCTTATTATAATACTTAGGTCCTGTTGGTTATGGAATGAAATGGGTTGAAAAAATTAACACAAAAATAAACTAAATCATCCTTCCTTCTTAGTAAGCATGATAAAATTCATTAATATATAATACAAATGTGAGAATCATTATGTCCTTCAAAAATTTCATGAATCATGATTCCTAACCCTATGAATTAGATTACTCTCATCTTTTATGAATGTGGTTCATTATTCATTTAGATCATCTCATTTTTATTTTTTTTAATCCATTCCTTTACATTTCTTTCTAGCAACAAACATGATGTTAATTTTTGTATTTAAGGGTACTCTTGTGGGTCATGTTGGTCTGCCATGAAAGGATTTTTCTTTTATTATTTTATGATACTGCCAAATGCTTGTGAGTTATGTGGGGTTGCTGCAAAGAATTCTTGCATTTCACTATTTTAGCTTTGAAGTACCATGTATATCTCACTTTTCGCATTGTCAATGACAAAGGAGATAAGAATGTTCATTTCTTCAAATTTTTTGACTAATTTGGATCTTCCTATTTATTTATCTCATTCTTTGATTTTACTTATGGTTCTTTATAGATTCTTCACATTTATGATATCTAGACACATAATGATTCCTTAAAAGATGGCATGTTCGAGAACAGGGTGCAAAGACCAGCTGCTTCATAGTTTCCTGTACATTGAAAAAAAAAAAAAGATGTTTTCCCCCATAAACAAAGCTGTTGAAAGATAAATGCCCCCTTGAGCCTTCCTCCCGCCCTCTCTCTCTCTCTATATATATATATATATATCTTATACTGGTCAAAAGCTAAAAGTCCCCTTCGAGCCTCTATATATTGGTCAAATTAATTCTTTATATATTTTAGTTTTGATATTCAACTCAATAACTTGGTGCATGTCCAGAGTGTAAAAAGAAAGGTAATATTTATATATTTACGTATTTGAAAATATTTTAACTGGGTGGGTGCATCATAAAAGGTAGAGGGGACCATGTTTCCGGCTTCCTATTTTTCTAAAACTTTAATTTAATATGGAGTGTTTTTCTTTTTTGTTTATTTTGTGTGTAACTCAAAATAGTGATATTCTTACTTCAACCTATTTTAAAATACAAATTCTTCCTTTCACGCCTCATAACAATTTCTGTCCTATCCACAACAATGACTATCTTAATTATTTGATCCAAAGAATTCTTCTCATGTGGGTCTTTCTTTATTTTTATATGTTATGTGCATGTAATTCGGATCCAATACAAAGAACAAGATCAATGCTAATATTTTCTTGTTTGAAGACCATTGGTTCATATGCTTATAACTTTATGATGTGTAAGAATTGTTAATTTGTTATTATATATCTTAAACTCTTTGGTTTATATATGGAGTCGTATTGTAATGACCCTAAATTTTAAATTTAACAAAATATTTCTCCCAATGGATATTTTATTTCAATAATTTTTATAACAAACAGAAAGTGGTAGTTTAGTGAAATTTATGCCAGTTAATATTTATGTAGATCAAGAGTTCAAATTCTACCAAGCAAAAGTTCAATTTTATTTATTTTAAAATTATAGAAAAATTTGTGCCTTCTTTTATAATTTTCCTATGCTTTCTCTTGTAATTTTCCTTGTGCCATTTCTTGTAATCTTCCCAATTTTCTTAATACTTAGATTTTTATATCACTCTTCTCGATTATTCAAGCTTGAGAATAGATCAGAGAGAGAGAGAGAGAGAGAGAGAGAGAGAGAGAGAGAGAGTGAGTTTGAATTCTTCCTTCATTCTCACCATTGGTTTGCACCTTTGGACCTCGCCGTCATCCTTTTGTTCTGCCCTCACTGCTGGCAGCTTGTCATCTTCCCTTTTCTTCTATTGTTCACCTGCCACTAAGGTGAGTGGTTTAGCTCTTTCTGTTCTTCTCTCTTTTCCTTTGTTCTCTTGTTCGGTGCAGCTGTGGTTAACGCTCTTCCTTTGTCGCCCTTCACCTCTACTCTTGTTGTGACTTGTTTGTTTCTTCTCCACTGAAGATCTGTTGAGAATTAGCACTGTTTCTCATCCCTTGTTTTTGGTTGCTATCATATCGTGTTCCATGGTTGGTGTGGGGTGAACGTGTGCTTGGTTTTTATCTCTTCTTCCTCCTTAGTTGCTGGAAGTGGCACCTGTGTTTATGGAAAGAATGAATCTTTCTTTTGTTGTCAATGATTTGTGCTCTGTTCTGAATGGTGGCTGTTATAACTATTGGAGATGGTGACTAAAATTTCATTTAAGCATTCCAGCTGGGTTTTGTTGAAGAAAAAGGAAATTGAATTTCTTTATTGTGTAAATTAGTGAAGGAAGAAGTTTGTTGAATGAGTATGCATATATATGTGTGTTAGAATTTCTAGTTGAAGTTTCCAAATGTGGTTGCTGCCAAGTATAACTTAAATGGTTGATTTGGGATTTAACTTGAGAAATTTTGTGTTCTTGATGATACTTAAGTATTGAATGGAAGTTTGATTTACGAATTAAATAGTGAGGATAAAACGTTGGGAAGGATGGAAAATAGTTATGTGATGAGCAAATATGAATGCTCCCAAAGATTTGTTTGAATGCTTAAAAGAAGGGTAATGTTAATTAATTGATATGGTTAAATTTGAATTTATTGATAGGAAAGGAGAAATTAATGTTTTGGGTTGAAAGCTTATATTGTTGATGAGCTGGCTATAAGAAATTATATTTGGACATAATGGTGTGAAAGTTGTTCTAAATTAAAATGTTCGCTCTTAGATCTAGCTTGAACAAAATTCTTGGTAAGTAATTTTAGGATTATGATTTATTTTTTAGGAAATTAAGGACATCATTAGGCTTAAAGTGAAGTTAAGAGAAGTAAGAATTTTTTGGAATCTCCTAGGTGCATGAGTGTGTCTCAATTATCTTAATTTTTTTTAAAAAATATCTTTATTTAATACTTTGTTTAAGTCTTTGTTATTATTCTCTCTATGATTTATATAGTTCTCTCTATTTATCTTATTTTTATTCAATTGGGATATTGTTCAAATTGTTCTATTTTATCAAGAAGTCATGCTATTGGATATAATATGTAATAAATTGATTATTTATTCAAAATAATACTATAGTTTAAATGTTATATTTGATTTAAAGTATATTTTTATGATGATTCATGCATGGAAAAAGTGTTGAAAAGGGAAGTTGACAGTTGAATCTTACATTTTGAAAGAATGATTTTAAAGTGGATATTTAGATACAAGCATGCTTGATTTTGATTATGGGGACTAAATTTAGAACAATGGTTGTTAATGGTAGTTTCGTTAGCCCTTGATATGCCACAATACACCTAAATAGAAGGATGCTTATAAGAGGTGCTACCTCATGCATAAGCCAATGCACATGGAATGTAATGACCCTAAAAATATATATATATATATATATATATTAACCTAGTAAATATTTATTTAAATAAATAAGTATTTTTTTAATAAGTAGGGATGGGTAGTTTGGAGGAATTTATGTTAGAAATGTTTCTGAAGATCTAAAGTTCAAAATTTTATTTTCTTTTCTCAGAAAAAGTTTAGTTTTTAAATTTTAGGAAAATCTTGTGTCCTTTCTTGTAATTTCTTTGTGCCTTTTCTTGTGATTTTGCATGTTCTTTTTTTGTAATTTTCCCAATTCTTTTCTTGAATCAGATTTGTTTCTTTTGTGCAAAGAAACAGAGCATCTCATTTCCTTCTTTTCATCGCTAATATACACTCTTCTAGACACTTATAGTCGGTTCTTCTCCAACTCTCCTTAACGTCTGAAGCTCGCTGTCATAGGGTGTCGATTTTTGCTGCTGTTGTGTCATCCACTGTCATCGTTTTCATCTGCGTTTGCCAGCCACTAGGAGTCGGTTCACTAATTCTCCTTCTCTGCTATCGTGCCATTTTGTTCAACGAGGGTGTTGTCTTCGGGTTGCTACTCTCGCTGCCCCTTCTCCCTCTCAGTTTTTCATTTAGCTGTCACAGTGAAAGGGTTGTATGTCTTCCTCATTTTCTGCTATGTTTTGTGAAGATGGGGAGGCGTATTATCGATGGTCAGCTTCCTTTCTCTTTTCTTTCATTCCTACGTCAGGTTCAGCATGTGTGTGTGTGTTTGTGCTAGCTAATGTTTTAATGTTGGCTGAAATTATAGTCCTTCCTTCTCGTGTGTGTGTTTGACAGATTAGAACCTTTATAAATTGTTCTTCTTTGATGCTGTTCTGTGGTCGATTCTTGAGTCTTGTGAGGTGAGATGTGGTTTTCTTTCCTTCCTTTTCAAACTTTATAGCATCATCGAATCCTTTCCTCCTTCCCTTAGTTAATTAATATCGTCCCTGCTATTTGTTCTTGATATGGACTGAGTTGCTTGGTTAAAACTATTTGGTTTTGTTGAATTAGGAAACAAGCAATAGAAATAGAAGTGTGAAGCTGAAATTTCTTGATCATTTATTTCATAACTTCATAAATGATAAATACACACTTACAAGGTAATTGTAAAATTTTGGAAGAGGAGAAATTGACAAACTATGACTTGTTAAGCTTCCATGTAGTAGCTTAAAGGGGAATATACAAGTTTTGGTCCAAGTTGTTAATTAGAACTTATATACTAAAAGGGTGAAGAGAATTATTAGGATATTAGTTTCCTTTTTGTTAGTTTAGAGAAAGTTTAATAATGATTGATACGATTTATAATAATTCATGGAAGTATGAGTCAAAAAAAAAAAACAAGAAGAGCATGAGGACATATATATTGAAAATTATCAAACGATTGGATTAACTCAAGTGTACTTGCAATATAATTGAATACGGTATTGTTAGTATTGATAAGCTTAAATAGTGACACCCATTAAGTATTTGGAAAATTTTTTTACTGACTTAAATTTTGACTTATTTGTCAGGATATTGAGGGTATCATTAAAATAGAGGTCAAAGGTTAAGAGAAGCAAGTTTTAGAATCTTTAAAAAACACTCAGGTGAGTGGGTAGCATTCTAATTGAATTTCAAGAAATTTTAAAATATATATATATATATCTTTACTTAGATTTTTGTATGCAGAGAGAAAGAAGAGAAGTAGGATATGATGGATTGAAAATGCGGGGGATGGAGTAACGAGAGATATTTATAGGGGAGGCCAAACAAGGAAAGGTCAAACCAGGGGCGTTGATCCCATGTTTTGGGTTTAAACTGGCAGCTCAGCTCCTAAAAATCCAGCTGACTCAGGTGGACTCTGGTCCAATCCTTCTCCTTTGCATCATAGAAATAGAGCCTCAAGTTTTCAGCTTACCACTCACTCACATTCACATGTTGCCCTTTGTAGCTGAGTTTATAGGAGCCAGAGTGTGAAACCCAACGTACTGTGTGTCCACAACTTTTGTTATTGGGACCAGTACGTGTCACTCTCTCTCTATCTAACATAATCCCACCTAGCCTATTCAAGCACTTGGATGTGACCATTGCCTGTGGAGTTTTACAATTATTCTATGTAAATATTCTAACCAATTTTATTTTTATATATAATTGTTTTAGTAATGATGGTATCTTGATTTTTCTAATGATTTATGCTATTGACAAGTAATAATTGAAGTGGATATACAATAAACGGCATGAGTCTTCTAAAACAGCTATTTTTTTTTTACTTTATATTTGATACGCAAACTTTTAGTACAGTAATTCGTGCATGGAGGAAATGACAAGGAATATGGGAATGGAAAATGACAACCAAATTCTACAATTTGAAAGTGAAAACTCTAAAATTGTTTTCAAATCTCTGTGCACGCTTGAGTTTAATTAGGGGGACTGAGTTCAAAACGATGGATGCTAACGGCAGTTCCATTAGCCCTTGGCATGCCTTGGTTTACCTAGCTAGCAAGGTGTTGATAGGAGGTGCTAGCCCCGTGCGAAGGCCAACACACGTAGATTGGAAGGATGGTATTTGTGAGCGTAATACTCACGCTTGTTTTCGTGGGCTTCATGCCTGTGTTTGTTTCGTGGCTTTTGCCACGTTTGTTTTATGGTTTCTAGCCATACTTGATTGGTTATTTACCCTCATGGACTGTGTGTCCACGCTTGTTAATCGTTTTGATAAAGCCCTCCTAGAATTAAATTGAAATTTATTATTTTATATTAGTCCTTTGAAAGCACCTATCTAACTGTCCAGTATTTGAGTTGATTACATCCTATGAGTTGTACAATTCTTGACAAATCTATACCATTTTATTTGAATTGTTTAATTTCAGAATTTTTTTTGTTGAACAAGAATTTCTCTTAATCTTTAGTTCAGGTATATGTTTCAATACCGGACAATATTGTTTTTAGACTAAATCTATTTATCTTACCTTTATAGATTTTATGTGTAATTTTTTTATGGAACGCTACTCACCAAATTTTTTTTTTTTTCAGATATAGTAGCTGACCCTGCACTTCCAGTTGACCACTGAGAGTCCTTCTTACTTTTTGGAAAGAGGAAGCACAAGGTGATTATCCTTTTAAAGAAACCTTGTAATGTATTTTGTAAATTATAAGTTGTTGCTCCGCGTATATCATAGTTAGGTCTTGGTTTTGTTTGGTTATTATGTGAATTGTTGGCATGCCAGTCTGGTTAACAGGTTCTGTTGTGTTGTAGAAATTTCGGGAGGCCAAGTTACTGGGGAGACTCTGCCAAAATTTCTACAAGATACTTAAGATTTTACGAACTTTTATTTTATATATATAACTTACATATATTAATACTTTAATAAAATTTTTAATTATTAAGGCTTATGGAATATGAATTCTTCTCATATTCTATGCCAATCATACCCTTGGCATTGGGGTGTGATAGATGGTATCAGAGCCAGGGTTTCTATGATTACGTGGAGCAAAAAAAAATTTCTTTGAAGTTTTAACTGTTATTATGAACCCGAGCATAATAATACTTGAAACTTCATTGAAGGTCCTATTAGGATGACTTAAAAAGAGTCCTTTCCTTACCTATTGTGCTTCCTATGCAATCATTGTGTTTTAAATTGAATATTTCTTATGTTTCTTGTATAGTGAGAATGCCACCTTGGCGTCGCCTTTCTGATAGAAGCCCCACTAGCAGTAGGACATCTGACAGGTCTTTTGCTTCACAAAATGAACTGCCCTTTTGTGGTCGGAGGCAGGGTCTTAGAGAGTCAGGATTAGAGGTGGTCAACCCTATAGGAATATTCAAGAGATTATATTTGAGACTGAACCCTCAAACCCTCAATCTCATGAGGGTGCCTCATCATCTGCTCTTGGCCCTAAAAGAGGAACTATTAGTGCCACTAATGAAGAGGTTGCCATCACAAAATTGATTGATTTTATTAAATTAAATCCTCCTACCTTCTCCGGAACTGGTGAGAAAGAAAATCCAGTAGCGTTCTTAGAAGGTGTTGAAAAGAGATGTCGAACCTTGAGGTGCCCAGATGTACAGTATGTGGAATTTGCTATCTTTCAACTTAGTGGGGTAGCAGAAGAGTGGATTAAAACCATTCTAGGTGTCAAGGATAAAAGAATACCATCTTTATCTTGTGAAGAATTCAAGGATGTATTTCTTCAACGTTATCTCCCACAAAGTAAAAGAGATGCTAAGATTGAGGAATTCTTAAATTTGAGATGCGTTGGGTCTGTATCTGAATATGATCAAAAATTTATAGAGCTTTCTTCTTTTGCTCCTCACATAGTGCCTTATGAGAAAGAGAGAATTCACAAATTTGTTCATGGTCTACCTCAGGAGATACATGATCCAGTATCTGTTATGATGGAGCTCTTTACTAACTATTCATAGGCCGTGGACGCTGCTCTCAAAATTGAGTTGAAGCATCAAGAGAGTAAAGCAGTTTCTTAGAAGCGTAAAAGAGAAGATGAGGTGAAATTCCAAGGTTCTTCTTCTAGAAGTGATCAGTTTCATGGGCAATTACATTCTCGTGGAAAGCAGCAGATATCTAGATCTTATGTTCCCCCTACTAGCACCCTAGTTTTTAGACGTAATATTAGAAGTCCTAGGCCACAATCTCAACTAGCTTCGGTTCAACCAAGCTATGTTAGAGCTCCTTGTGTCACTTGTGGAAATTTTCATTCAGGACCTTGCCGCAAGGCATCTGGTGCTTGTTATGAGTGTGGACAAATGGGGCATTTAAGAAGAAATTGTCCTTTTATTCAATCAACATCTAGTTAGGGGTCTGTTCGACCACTACCACGCTCATCTGCTTCTGTGAGAGTACCCTCTATTACCACTGGAAAGGGTATGTCTGGAAAACATCTAGGAAACGGGGACAATCTACAGGACAAGGATAAGCACGAGTTTATGCTATAACTCGACAGGATGCTCGAGCTTCAAATGATGTAGTTACAGGTATTATTTCTGTATGCTTTAAAAATGCATATGCATTGATTGATCCTGGCTCAACACACTCATATGTTTCTGTGTACTTTGCAAAGAAGCTGGGTAGAGAACCCATCAAACTTGATAACCCTTTTATGGTTACTACTCCAGTAGGAGAACCCCTTTTTGTTGAGCAGGGATACAAATCATGTGAAGTATCTCTTGAGGGTGGAGAAACCCTAGTTGATTTGATGATATTAGATATGATTGATTTTGATGTAATTTTGGGCATGGATTGGTTAGCTTCTTGTCATGCTACTATTGATTGTCACTTTGAAAGTGGTAAGATTTGAAATTCCTAGAGAAACTCCTTTTGTTTTATGAGGGAGCCAAATGGACAGACCAACTGGTTTAATCTCAGTCTTAAAAGCCCAACAGTTCTTAATGAAAGGTTGTCAAGGGTACTTAGCCTTAGTAAGGGATGTTGAGAAACCAGTTTCTAGTATAGAACAAATTCTGATAGTTAGAGAATTTCTCAATGTCTTCACAGAGGAGTTGCCTGGATTACCCCTAGACAGGGAGATTGAATTTGCTATTGATATAATTCCGAGTACTCAACCAATTTCAATCCCCCTTTATAAAATGGCACCATCTGAACTGAGAGAATTGAAAGGTCAGTTGTAAGAGTTGTTGGATAAGGGATTCATTTGCCTCAGTACTTCTCCTTGGGGAGCGCCAGTCCTCTTTGTGAAAAAGAAGGATGAGTCGTTGAGACTTTGCATTGATTATCGACAGCTTAATAAAGTAACTATAAAAAATAAATATCCATTGCCTCGTATTGATGATCTCTTTGATCAGTTGGCAGGAGCTCAATGTTTCTCAAAAATTGATTTATGTTCAGGTTATCACCAGTTAAAAATTAAGAAAGAGGATATTCCAAAAACAGCATTTAGAACTCGGTATGGCCACTATGAGTTTTTGGTAATGTCTTTCGGGTCGACAAATGCACCGGCTGCATTCATGGATTTAATGAATCGAGTATTTAAACCATTTCTGGACAAGTTTGTAATTGTTTTTATTGATGACATTTTGGTCTATTCAAAGAGTGCAAAGGAACATGAAGAACACTTGTGATTAGTACTAAGGGAGCACCAACTTTATGCAAAGTTTTCTAAATGTGAATTTTGGCTTGATCAAGTTACATGACCTGGGTCATGTTGTGTCTAAAGATGGTATTCAGATAGAGCCAAGCAAAGTTAAAGCAGTTCAGAATTGGCCACGACCTACTACAGTTACGGAGATACAAAGTTTCTTAGGTTTGGCTGGTTATTATCGTCGTTTTGTCAAAGACTTTTCAAGAATAGCTGCACCATTGACTAGATTGACTTAGAAAAATGTGAAATTTGTATGAAGTGATGAATGTGAGGAAAGCTTCCAAAAGCTAAAAGACTATCTAACGTCTGCGCTTGTTAATCGTTCTGATAAAGCCCTCCTAAAATTAAATTGAAATTTATTATTTTATATTAGTCCTTTGAAAGCACCTATCTAACTGTCCAGTATTTGAGTTGATTACATCCTATGAGTTGTACAATTCTTGACAAATCTATACCATTTTATTTGAATTGTTTAATTTCAGAATTTGTTTTTGTTGAACAAGAATTGCTCTTAATCTTTAGTTCAAGTATATGTTTCAATACCGGACGACATTATTTTTAGACTAAATCTATTTATCCTACCTTTATAGATTTTATGTGTAATTTTTTTATGGAACGCTACTCACCAGAAACTTTTTTTTTTAGATATAGTAGCTGACCTTGCACCTCCAGCTGACCACTGAGAGTCCTTCTTACTTTTTGGAAAGAGGAAACACAGGATGATTATCCTTTTGAAGAAACCTTTTAATGTATTTTGTAAATTATAAGTTGTTGCTCCGCGTATATCATAGTTAGGTCTTGGTTTTGTTTGGTTATTATGTGAATTGTTGGCATGCCAATCTGGTTAACAGGTTCTATTATGTTGTAGAAATTTTGGGAGGCTAAGTTACAGGGAAGACTCTGCCAAAATTTCTACAAGACACTTAAAATTTTACAAACTTTTATTTTATATATATAACTTACATATATTAATACTTTAATAAAATTTTTGGTTATCAAGGCTTATAAAATATGAATTTTTCTCATATTCTATGCTAGTCATACCCTTGGCATCGGGGTGTGACATGGAATGGATGGATGGATATTCATGAGTATCGTGCCAACGCTTGTTTTATGGCTTCTAGCCGTGCTTGATTATTTCATAGCTTTAAGCTATGCTTGTTTGTAACTTTTCCTCATGGATTGTGTATCTATGCTTATTTATTGGTCTGATTAAGTCTCGCTAAAATATGAAATTTTAAAAATTTATTATTTTTAAATCTATTCTATTTAACAAAACTGTTATTTGCTTGTATATAATTTTATATTGTAAATTTTCTCCTAGATTAGATTTAAAAATTTATTGCTTTATATTAGTTATTTACAGACATTTTTCTCTTCATTATATCATCATTTAAATTCTTTTTGTATATTTTTATTTGTTGTACGATTCTTGATAACCTATAAAATTTTAAAATTATTGATTTATTTTACGATATTATTAAGCAACTTTGTCATTTATTGTTGTTTAAAATTAATATGTTTTGATATTTCATTGATTTATTTTAAACTAAATTTTATTAATGACTACTTTTACATGTTTTATGTAATGACTTGGGAATTTATGTATTTTTAAAATATGCAATAAATAAGGGGGACTAACAATTAAAAGAAATTAATTTAAAACTTAGAATATATTCACAAAGTTAGAGTAAATAATAAGGTAATTAAGTATATTTTATTAATTTTTGGGAGAAGATTTGATAAGATTTATTGGTGGTTTAGCGGTGATTTTATTTGCTAAATGCCCTAAGGATTTTGGGTTTGATTTTTTTGGGCCCAAGTGAAGCTTTGTATTTATTTTGGCCAAACCTCTGGAAATTACCAAAATGACATATATGAGAAGCCAAACACGCATTAGCTTTCACATTTTCCCTTCCCCATTTGCGATTATTCCAGAACCAAGGGGCGAGAGTGAGAGCTCGATGTGCGGTCTTTCGTCCTCTCTTTTGATAGTCTATTGTCGGCGATCGCGAGTGTGCTGTCTGTCGTTGTGAGGGGTTCTGTAAGCTTTTGATTTCTTCCTCCTCCTCTGTTTTAGCGTTGCGTGCTTTCCTTCTCTCTATATCTGTTCTGCGTTGTTACTATCTTGGGTGTGTGGAAGGGCTAGGTTCTTTCTTTCCATTTTTCCTTTGCTTGTTGGTGAGTTCAAGCTTCATTTGTTCCCTCCCTTGTTTCAGATTTATGTGGCTGTGGTTGTTGAATGGATTATTGTAATAGAAATAGAAAAACTGATTCTCTGTCATTGTTCTTGCTTGTTGCGTAAATGCGAGAGTAGTTTGGATCCGGGCAAACTGAAATTCAAGTCTAAAGAGCATGAATTTGGATAAACGATTCCACATTAGTTGCTTTCTTGGGTTTAAAAAAATGAATAGGGATGCATGCACGTATTAGTGACTGAATGAAGTTTTAGCTAAAGTTGTATTGCATTTTCTTATTTAATTGTGCCAAGTGCTTTTGTTCTTAGCATATTGCCTAGTATTTTATTTTATAATATAGTGCTGGTTGCTGTGTTTGTACCCATCTTTTAAGATTGATTTTTGGCAAGGAATTGAATTTGAGAAGCATAATAAATTTAAATGATGATGATGAATGGAAAATTTTTGGTAGGGATATTTAAAGAGTAGGATGGTGGTTGTATGGTTTGATTTGAATACACAAAGACATTTGATAAATTGTTTGATGGAAGAATTTTAGTCTAGGATAGCAAATAAATATGAGAAATGTAGTATTGTTAACTAAATTATTATATAAACAATTATTCTCTATAATGAAAAGTGGGAAATAAAGGTAGAAAATTTTGGAAAAAGGAATTTGGTTAATAATTATATGTTCAAGCTTGTTGTTCTTATGTTAGATTTTTGGTACATATAAAGTGTTAGGTGAAATGTTTGAGTGAAGAAAATTTATGAAATTGGATATACTTGAGTGATAATATTGATTAAATCATAGAAGTTGTTTATTTTCTATAAGTAGACTTGGAAACTTTGAATATTATTTATATACGTGTTTGTTGAAGATTTATCATTTAATTCAACATGGCTTCTTATTGGTGAAATGTTGATGTTGAGATTCTCCGTGTCAATTCTCTAAATTCGTTTGAACTGAAGATTTTGTATTTACAAAGTGTATAAAAGAAATAACAACAATGTCGCTTTGGGACATTAGGGAATTATGGCACAGACAATATTACAAAAATGGCTAATCAAGAGTAAATTATATTTTTAGGAATGTCTTAGATAAGTAAATAGCGTTCCAACTAATTTTTCAATAAAAATTTCCTTTACTAAAATAGTACATTTTTTTATGCAAATTATTTTAATAACAATGATGTGTATATTGAATATTTTATTTATTAAACTTCATTATTTTGTGAAACTACCTTTATCAACTTTGAAATTTTAATTGATTAATAACTACAAGTTTGGATTTTGATTACGAGATTTCATTTTATCAATTATTGAATTGACACAGAGAATGATTCATGTGAGTTCAACTTTAAAAATAAAAAATTTATTTATTACTAATGATTTCCTCACATGTTTGAAATTATATTTAAAAGGGACTTATCATAAAACACTGGTTGCTAATGGTAATTCCGCTGGCCTTCGGTGTGCCATGGTTATAACTAGCTAATTTGACTTTCGTGAGTATCGCACTTACGTTTGTTATTTGTGGGTTTCATATCTACATTTGATCTCGTGGCTTTGAGCCATGTTTGGTTAGCATTACCCTCATGGACTGTATATCTACGTTTATTTTGTAACTCAGGCTGCGTTTGGTTATTTACCCTTGTAAACGGTATATTTACGTTTGTTTTTGTGGTATAAGCCACATTCGGTTATTTATCCTTATGGGCTATGTGTCCATGTTTGTTACTTGTTCTGATAAGTCCTTATAATTATGAGTTTTTAATTATTTGATGGATCTATTTTTCATTGGTGTTGATTAATGAAATTTTTTATAATTATTTTATGCAATTATTTTCATTCCTGAAATTACATAGTAATGACATTTGATATTATACTTTAATGAATCAATAATTTATTTAAAGTTACATAAAGTTCTTTTGTGATGAAATTTATTAAATATTTGTTTGTGAAAATTGTTATTTCTAGCACACATAAATATGTTAAATTTTTTATTTATTCACATTTAATTATTTATTTTTAGGATGCTATTCACCAAAAATTTATTTTTGGTCTCAGATGGTATAGCTAAACTTATATCTCAAGATTTTCATTGAGGAGTTTTATTATTGAACTGAAGTAGAAGAATTATTTTAGACAAATCCTAATTTAATGAAAATTTGAACTTTGTACTTATGTTAAAGCTTGGCCTTAAGTGTTCCATGTAGACTACAGGTAGGACCTCATTTTTTTAAGATTGAATATCTAATTTAATATTGTAAAAAAAAAATTCTAGTCATCCTATTAATGTGTTCAAAGTATTAGCTTTGTAGTTTCTCTGATCAAGGCTCAAGGGATATGAGTTTCGTGCCCATATCTTGTGCTAGTCACACCTGATTTTTAAGGTGTGACATTTTATCTATTGCCTTTTGGATGATGGGAGCATGCTTCAATTATTTATTTTAATATAAATATTTATTATATTATACAATGGTAGTTAGTGCTCTATGTATATAGTAGTTAGGTCCTAGTTTTACTTTGTAGTATGTAATTTACTGGTATGGAGCCAATCTCTTTTACTGGATTGATTAGCTGGTTTTGCTATTGTAAGTATTTTGAGAGGTCCAAATTAAAGGGGAGACTCTATCAAAATTTCTACAAAATATTTAAGATTTTACAAACTTTATAAACATATATAAAAACTATATTGATAATTTAGCTTAATTTTTAGTTAATTAAGGCTTATGGAATGTGAGGTTATCTCACATTTTGTGATAGTCGTACCCTTAGTACCAAGGTGTGACATGTATATTAAATGAAACTCATTATAAATAAATTTGGAAATAAAATAGGGAAAATGGATGCTCCAGAAAGTTGTAGATGGATGTATGATAGAATATCTTCAAGATGTGGATACTTGGCAAAAGAATCTATTGAAGGTGTTGAGAGTTTCTTAATCATGCATGTTAGTTGCCTCCTTACATAGATTTTAAGGGAATTAAGTGTTTATGTGCTAGGTGTAAATGCATAAAGCATCTATCTCTTGACAATGTAAAGTCACATTTATATAAACATGGATTTCAGGTAGATTATTATCAATGGACTAGTCATAATGAAGAGTCTAGTAAGGAAAATGTAAGCCTCCATCTACTAAATATTAACCAATTTAATTTTATGAGCAACTTGGTGAATAGTTTACATGACTTCACTAGTGCAAAAAGCATTTTTCACCACAGTTAAAATGTATTTTTGGCAACAGAAGACGCTTTGTGGTAGAAAGCATTTTTCTACTGTGAACAAATTTCATCCTATCATAATCAATGAATGGATACTTCTCCCAAGGTTTTTCCACATCGATATCATTATCACTATCATCATTTTCATTGTCATTCTTGGGAAACACATATTTTCTTGCAAGCTTGGACTTAAAGTGTGTCCATCGATTGCCGACATATTTTAGCCATTTGTCTTTTAAAAATGGAGTTTCTTTTATGTCATATGTAATCTTCAAAATAACAAGCCAACGATGAATTTAGTGACAACATATATTTCAAAATAAAAAGTAAATATGATATAAAGCAATTAGAAATACTAGCATTGTTTCCCAAACATTATCTTTATCACTTTCTTTTACATCATCCTACTCTTCCTTCAAGATGTTAATTTTTTGACGAGCCACAAGACCCATAAAACTCTTAAAAATATTTCCTCTTTTCTTATCAATTGGTTGGCCCTTTTCAT